GACAGCCTTGGTAGGAATGGAGCATTGGTAGGAAGAGGAGAGCATTGGGAGAAAGAGGAGAGACTTGGTAGGAAGAGGAGAGCCTTGGTAGGGAGAGAAGAGTGTTGATAGGAAGAGGAGAGCGTTGATAGGAAGAGGAGAGCCTTGGGAGGGAAAAGAGAGCATTGGTAGGAAAGGCTTTACAGGATATAGTCTCTATTGTATATACTCAACTCACCATTGTAGTACAAAAGCAGTCACAGCTATGTAAATAAATGAAGGTGGTTGTGTTCCAGTAAAACTTTATTTACAAAAACAGGTACTAGGCCAAATTTAACTGTAGTTATCTAGCTGCTGGGTTAGAGCACAGGGTAAGGACTTGGTTCCACCTGGTTCCAGTCCTCACTATGCCACTTACCAGGAGTGCACCAGCAGTCCACAGTTGCTCTGAGGGCTCTGAGCCTTCTCTTGGGTTTCACTGTGAGCTTTTGTGCCTTCCTTCTCAATTTTTTCCCAAGTAAAACCAGGCAAAAGCCCACTTATCCTCATCATGAGGAATTAACAAAACGACTCATGTGAAGACGATAAACCAAAGGCTAACACACAGGAAATGTCTATTCACTGTAACTGCGGTTTCATCCCTCTTTCTCAATTGCTTATTAATGCAGTTGCCCTATTTGCAAAGGGAATGGAAGGAACACTACCGAATATGTAATTCTTTTCCTTATTTTTCTCCCACATGTGGCTTCTCAGAATTTATTGTTCTCAAAATTCAAATTCCTTACATTCACATTACTTTTTTCCATGGGGGCTCCTTTTACAAATGGGAGCCTGCTCAACCTTGCAGATATACTTGAAGTTATTGACTATTTAAATATCTGTTTCTCATTATCCCACACAATGAGAAAACTGTGAAGAATTGGGGTTGGATGTTAATGAAAAATGGTCCAGGCATTGAAAGCATTTTCCACTGAAAAACAAATGCATGAATAAGCAGTAGAAGTTAGAGCAATCAAAAGGAAAGTTCAGGTCAGCACACCCCCAGCTCTGGGGAAGGTTCAAGTCTCACCGAGGTTCTTTCTCCCATATTGGGGGACCTAGAGCAACTCCTTGGAGGTAAAGCAAAGGCCTGGCCACCCCATATGGCTGAGGGAGAAGTGGAGCTAAAAATCATGTTAATCCCTGGGTGCCTATTGCAGGCGGCATCTGTGCCAACTGGGCACCTTTTTCTAATTTTACATATGAGCTAGCAGAATTTCTAGCACTTTCTGAAAATAACTTTTCTGCAAAGTACCAGCAGGTCGTCTGCATGTTCCAGGGAGTCTGAACATTGGCTTAAAATGCATTTCTCCATCCACCCATCTATCCATTCATCTATCGGTTGGTTCATCCATCCAGCATTCACTGGATCACTGCTGTTGTCTGGGAATTTCTGGATAGGAATTTAACCTTATTGATTTATCACCTTCTTTTTCTCTAACTAGCATATTACAGCCTTATTAGCATACAGTCTTTCAGGGCTGCTGAGAAAGCCAGATTCCAAACCAGCACAACCCCACCTGCCTTTGGGAGTTGACTCTCCTTAACCAGAAAACGTTCTGATAATCTTCTGGACCCCAACCACAAGTCACTCAAAGATTGCTGTGGGACATGAGGAAAGGGTTGTTAGTTAGATTTTGTCTTTCCTAACCCCTTAACATTAAAGACATAAATTCATATAGTGTATTTTCTCATTTCTCCAAATGTCTGAGGAAAACGTTGAAGAAACCAATATACTGTCCCTCAAATGACTTTTGTCACTAAAGTTTTTACATGTTGCTGATTTGGGGTAGGAGAGCATTGGTAGGAAAGGCAAAGTGGCTTCTACCAGAGTAGAGCAGAATTCTGAGGGCTAGAGACCAGCAGTTGGCATAATGGCTATGTCACTGGACTCCCATGTAGTCGATCACAGTTTGAGTCCCAGACCGGGTGGCTTAAATTCACTCCAGGTGCATGTGTGTGTGTGTCCAAGATCCGGAGAGGAGAATGAAGGAGAAGGGATTGTGGTGTGGTCATCCCCCCCTTGGGGATGGGTGGGTGATTTCTCACTTTCTATCTCTCTGTCTCTCTCTGTCTTTCTGGCGAGTGCACATGCCCTATGGCAAAAACCTCAAAAAAAAAATAGAAAAAAGAATTCTGAGGGCTGATGGGTTCATAGCTCTGATTACCTATAAAATCCACATGTTATGATTTAACCTTCCTCCAACAGGTCCCCTAGATTCAATTCACTGTGCCCCAACTTTGTCTCTATCATAAGAAACACTTTAAAAGTAGCATTAAGGCTTTACCCTTAAACCCCAGCACTTTGGGCCCTGAGTGGTGAGTTTAACATTGGAAATTAGCATTGATGAAGGAAAGAAAACCTTTGAACTGAGACCATGTGGTGATGGAGGGAATGTGGGTAGCAGCGACCATGTTCTGCTTGACAGAAATTCATGCTCTGCTTTTGTGATTGGATCGGAAGTCTCAGGTAGGGAGTTAATCACAGTAGAGTTATCAACTTCCTTTTCTGTGATGGGTGAGTCATGGCCTTATTGGAGGATTGCCTTCACTATGGAGCCAAATCAGAATCAAAAGCAAACCCAGGGACACCCTTTGGGAAGAGGAGGGATGGCTCTGAGGAACTTTGGGCCTGTCGCTGCAAGCTTTGTTGTTTCATGTGCATTCTTCTGAGCTCACTTGAAAATCCAAGAGCAGGATGGTTGCCAGGCAGCAGATACTCTTGGTGACCTGAATAATGAGTTGACACCAGTTCACTGTGACTCGCAAGCTGGCCATTTCAAGGAGCCATCTTCAGCACCGTGCTTCTTCTTCCTCTCTGTGACTATGCATAATTTCCAATATGGCTACAAAGAAAGGAATGAGAAAGAGAGACAGAGGGTCCTTTCTTAGCTATCATAATGAAAATATTAAAAGATAAGTATAGGGACCAGCAGGTGGTATAATGGTTTCATTACTGGACTCCCACATAGTGAATGGTGGTTTGATTTCTGGACCCGGTGGCTTAAGACTCACACCAGATGTGTGTGTGTGCATGCCCCAAATCCTGAGAATGGAGGAGAAGGGATTATGGCATGGCCACCCCCCTGGAGAGTGATTTCTCACTTTCTATCTCTCTGTTTCTCTGGCAAGTACATGCACCCTATAGCAAAAATTTCTCCCATTAAAAAAAAAAGAAGAAGAATTTGGGGACAAAGAGAAGAGTAAGCAGTAATGTGAGAGACAACGAAGATGTAGAAAGGGCATTTGGGAGATCCTGGGATCCTTTCTTCCTCGGGGGATGTAGATGTGGCTGTCAAGGTGTGTGCTAAGCAGGACATCCGTCATCAAAGCTCTCCCAGTATTCTCATGACCCAAAAGTGAACAATGACCCTACGCTTTTACAGAAGGAAATTCCTAAAACTGAAGGACACACAATTAAGAACTAGGAAGCTGAATAGGCTTTGCAAGTTTTTCCAAGAAAATTGCTTTCATTTTTCTATCATTTCTGAGAAAACATTAGGTCTGACCCACATCTTGGCTACTCCCCAAATCAAAGAAAGGAGCTCTGGTGTTCAGGCTGCAAAACCTGGAGAATGCTGACTCAGAAAAAGGAATCTTAACCCCAGTGCTTTGTTTATTCACCACGAATTGAGTGCCTTCTCTGTGTATACCCTTAGGTAGAAATCAAACCGATAGCAGGTACCTCTGTATAAGGAGCTCAGGTTCTCATGAGGGGTCCATCTGCATCGTGAGCAGAGGCATGCCCGCATAGCAGGGTCACCAATGCATGGTAAAGGCAGTAGCACCTCCCACCCATGGCTCCCCTCCCAGGGTACCCCATGGATAGGGAAGACACATCTTTCTGGCCACCACCATTTACTGTCAGCAGCCAGGGAGGCTTTTTTCCTGGGTTAAGCATACATCATTTTCCAGAAGTAAAGATCATGTCTGATTTTGGCAAACTCAAAAGCACCTAGTCCCTTTCTGAGCCAGATTCTCATTTGATGTAAATCTTGGGGAGAATCAAGTTGTAGCACTGTATTGCATCAAGTGGGACTCTAGCCAGTCTTTCCCCAGAGTTACCCTGGGCTTAAATCTACTACAGCATCTCCATGGCAACCAGGGGCCGGCCAGTGAACGTGGTTGCCTTCTAAATCCTCTGCTCGCTTCTCACCCCTGCACGGTCTTTTCCATGATTAAGAATGATCTCCCTCCCTTCGCTCTCACGTAATCACTCACTCTCGCATACCTTCTATCATTTTGCGCCCACATTTTTGGTTGCGATTTACCTTACAATCTGCTTTTAAAATCCTCCATCCAATTTAAAAAAATGGAGATGTGTTAGTCATTGCTTGATGGTGGTAACTGACCTGTTTAGACAAGACCAGGCTGATTTCAACGGGCACGGAAGCCTTGGCAAGCCAAAGTGGAATTTACCTTCAAGTCTAGCCAGCCTAATTAATACATTGTTTAAGAATGCTGGCCAGCCAGACCAAATATGGCATTTTCACCCATTTGGAAAATCTGCCTTACTGAATTCCAAAAGTTATTTCTGCATCATTTACTTGTGTGCATTTGTGTGTGTGTGTGTGCGTGCGTGCACGTGTGTGTGTGTGTACATTCTAGTGCTTCTATATATTATAGAGTCATTGTGGTTAAACGGGGGGTGAGGGGGAAGCTTTGAAATAGTACAGTTCTTGGTTAAATCTCACACATACTACTTACTAGCAGAATAACCCACTGTTGATATAACCTCCTCTGAGTCAGCTTCCTCACCTATAAAATGGGTATGACTGTACCTACCTCATAAGGGGGTGCGTAGGAAATAATATCAATCATCTTAAAGTGCTTGGCACACACTAAAAACTGACTACCGCCTTAGTGCCCACCCCTCCCTGTACGCCCTAAAGCATGTGTGTGTTTCTTTCTTCTTTTAATTGATTTTTGGATTAGTCTGCATGCTCTCAGCCTAGCAACACTCTTCTGTGTCTCTCCACCAGGGGGCACCCTCCTGCCAGGGACCGAGCCCACAGTGGACACGGTGCCCGTGCAGCCCATCCCAGCCTACTGGTATTACGTAATGGCCGCCGGGGGCGCCGTGCTGGTGCTGGTCTCCGTCGCCCTGGCCCTGGTGCTCCACTACCACCGGTTCCGCTATGCGGCCAAGAAGACTGATCACTCCATCACCTACAAAACCTCCCACTACACCAACGGGGCCCCTCTGGCAGTGGAGCCCACCCTAACCATTAAGCTAGAGCAAGACCGCGGCTCGCACTGCTGAGGCCGAAGCAAGGACAGCGCCCAAACAAGAAAGACTGCAAACACGTTGCCTCGATTTTGCACTTTTTCTTCCTGCCTAGTCTCTGTGTGAACTCTCAGACATCTCTCTCCCGGGTCCCCAACCCTGAACGCTCTTATCGATCCCAACCATTCTCCTTGGGTTTTGTTTTGTTTTGTTTCTCTTTTTCATTCGTCTTTTTTTTTTTTTTTCTTTTTGTTGTTGTCGTTGATTCCAAACCAACAAAACCCAACTCTAATGCTGCATCTTGGAATATGAGAAGAGATCCACCCCTAAGTACTTCACAACTCAAGGCTCAGCTGGTTTGTTCCAGAGACGGGTTCTCTTGTTTTTTTTCCCCCTTGCCTTATCCCATATCTCCTCTGGTGGGCAGGCTGCCAGGAGACTTGGGGGGACCTGGATCTGTGTGTATGTACATAATATACATTTGTGCGTGTGAATACCTCCCTGAGTGTGGATGTGTGAGAGAGGCTGGTTCATTGTGTGTGTGTGGGGGGGGGAGTGTGTGGGTGTGTTCAGAAAGGGCCCTTTAACTCTTGTGTTACTTCTCCTGGGGTACATTTTACAAAAAAAATAATAATATACTGTATAAGTTTTGTTTACTTGGAGAAGAGATTGAAGCTTTTTGTTGCCTTATCTAGCTCTGGCTGGGTTTCTGTTGGCTGTCATTGTCATCTCCAGGTACCTAGAAAAACAGAGGCCACATGGACTGCAGTGTGGCCCCTCCCATTCCTATTCCCTTCCCAGTCCACCTGACCCAAGAGGAAGGTTCCCCCAGTGCACTCAGGCATGACCTCCCTGTCATGCTGCCCTGTGTCTTTGAAGTAATGAGATAACAGCCATTGGGTGTGTATGGAACCACCTCTGCTTCCAGCCCTGAAGCAAATCTGTCTCATGTTGCCTTATAAAAGAGAAGTTCATAATGAATGTTTAGCTTTTATTGGTTCAGTCCAATCTTGGAATAAGTCATAGAGAATAACAAACCTGGAACTGATATAGGAAAAGCAGTAGTCCGTTAAAGTCAGAAGCAGGAGGAGGTGAACGAAAGAAGGAGAGAGAAAGAAGAATTAAAATACCTTTGCGAAGTCTCCTCATCTGCGAGGGTCTTTGGGCCCAACTTGGCATGGGATTGAGTAAGCAGGTTGAAAACCATATCCTTTGGTATTATATTGGTCATTGTAATAGCATTTGTAAAATACGGGGATAAAAGGGATCATTTGCTTTCCTTTCATGGTGTCAATGTGTGCCTGAATCTATAGCCACTAAAATATAAGGTTGTCCGCCTGATTTATTTAAATATAAGAGAATAGAAAGTAATTATTTTTTAAAATAGGACAATATGCTGCCCCTTAAAGCATTCACGGCATCTGGTAAATCCACCTCGTAGGCTAGCCTGGCATATGCAGATGTTGCTGCACCATCAGAGAGAGTAATAATGAAGGTAAATCCATCGCCGACCATTTGTTCTCTCTAAGCAGTGCGGAGAGAGGGATGGTAGAGAGAAACTGCCAGATGATACTGAACACAAGATGGATTAAATAATGAAGTCAGTATCATTGATAGAAATGCATAAATTCAGATTCTTAGTGTACTAGGGCTTAGCCTTGGAGGTGTTCATTGTTGGTTTTTTTTGTTTTTTTCTTTTGTTTCTTTTTTTTTAAATTTTTAACCTTTCTGCCAGGAATCCACTAGGAAGTATAAAATTTTCTCCAAGGATTGTTGTCTGGGTTGAAAACCTCCAGGTACCTCCCAGGAACAAAATGTTAACTTTTTAAAAAAAATTTGGTGGGGAGGTTCTGCTTGGGAGAGAGACTTTTAGCATTCTTTCAGATGATCCAGTTAGGTCCCTCCAATACACACTTGACTTTTGCATCTGGATTGTTTCATCCTCCTGAAAGAAAGGTGCTCTCCCACTCTCGTTCTCTTTCAAAGAGTTACTCTGTCTCAACCACAGCAGCCCTGCCAAGAAAGGAAAAGATGAAAGGCTAGATAGAGCATCAGCTATCCTGAGATTTCATGAAGGGTCCTACTCCAGCTGAAGGTGGAGAAAGAAGGGGAGGGGGTGCAGAGAGTGATAGTCCAGGATACCATGTGACCACTCACATGCCGGTCACTAAGGGCTTCTTATCCTGGCTCTCCACATCCAGTCATGCATTTAGGGGCAGCCGTTTCCTCATAATGATTGACATTCTTGTAAGCACCCTATGGAGGCATGGCATCGGGAAATTACACCTGGAAAATCCAGCCTATGTAGCAACTGGCTGAGTTACCATACCCCTGAGGATTCTCCTTCTCTGAAAGATGACAACTTTGTGAACTTGCTATATCTTTATCTGCTACCTCCTATGGCATCATAGTTATGTATTAGGTCGTCAGAAAAGTCATGATGCATTTTTGCATACAATCTCATGACTTTTTGACCCCCACAATACATGCCATAGTTGAGAATATGAGACTGCTCAGATATTCGGGAATCCCATGAAACACTTCAGCTGGGGGGGAGGGTCACATTTTCTCTCGCTCTCTCCATCTCACCTCCCCTCCTGCTCTCTCTGCCCCAGCAACTTTTATAGTATTTATCCAGGTACTATGCTAAAAGGGCAGCTCTTCTGTAAAATGCCATGCCTTGAAGCTTTAAAAAAGCAAAATTCTATATTTCATAGAGGGAGGGAAGAGTCACTCTCTTCTAAGAAAAATAGACTGGACAGGTGAATGCATGCATGCATGTGTTTAGAGTTGCTTCTCAGAAGACAAGGAGGTGATAGCAGCTATTAAAATATAAATGAATGAATGAGCTGAAGGCCTACCTGAGGCTAGTAAAGCATTTGCCCTGGAAGAGGTTTTTATGGCAACACCTCCAAAAGGTCAGCCATAATGTCTAGGTTGAAAATCCTTTCCTTGGTATTACGCTAACAATGGCTATCACCCAATTCTTGACAAACATAGAAAAAAAAATCATAGCATTGCCATTGACAAAGCAGAGTGCTAAAAATAAAGTAAAATATCTTTCCCTTTATCCCGCATTTTGGGAGTAAAGCCAGAACGGAATAGGAAATCCAGTAATATTTTTGAGGTTGATACTCCATCTTTTAAAAAGTCCTGTCTTTAAAATGAAACTAGCAGGCAAGTGAACACCTAAATAATCAAAAGTTAACCAAAGACCAACAACAGAACAAGAAAACCTAAAGATTTTTACTTCCTATTCTTATCCCCCATCCCTATAACTGTGACACCCCTTGCATTGCTCAGTTGCCTGTGTGTCAAAATAACTTGTGGACCTTGGAAACTATTTGAAAATGTATTGTGTGGAATGTAATAAAATGATATTTTTATACAAACATCTGGGTTTTTTTTACCCCCTTTGCCTGTGAGAACAAAGTTGAAGTGTAAGCTTTGAACAATTTGGTGTTTCCAAAGTTTACACATCGCCTTCTGAGCTACAGGGCATTTCTGTGGGAGGTAGGTGGGTTTTCTCCTTAAGGCTGAATGCCAGCTTTTCTTTTTTTCTTTTTTTTTTTTTTTTAATTTTTATTACTGCTTGTTAGGAGTTTTATCCAATTTGTGCAGCTGAGCCAACTTTTATGATTGGTGTGGGATTTTGCAAAACTTGCTAAGTGCTAAATTGCTAAATGTGATTCCACAAAATTTCTCTTGATGGCAAATCCCTGGAGATTGGACTCTACTTTCAAAGGGCCCCAGGGGGTGGGGGACTGACTAAACTGAATCATGAACAGAGCTCTGCGGAGACAGCTTACATCCTCTGGTGAAGAAGCCATGGCATTTTACCCCTCACCTACCAAATTACTACTTCCACAGGGAGGTTGAGCTCCACTTTATGAGTGTTTTCCCAGACAAAACGGGAACTTGTAGTATGTTCAGGGCTCAATGATAGTTTAGGCTTCATTTTTGAGCAGCTGGCAAAGATAATTACATGATTACTGTGAACCTGGAACTACCAGAGTGGAATGTTTTATAAAAGGGACATTTTAGAAAAATTTTGTGAAGAGGGGCTTAGGGAAACTTACTCAATAAATTGGATCTTGTTTGACAAATATGTCCCTTTGGTCCTCCTCTTTGGGTAGTTCATGATAATGTTGCAGAAGATTTTTTTCATAGAGGAATTAGGGAGGAGAATTCTAGAAAAGTTAATCTCCTCATGGTTCAAGGTTTCTGGCTAGGGATCATGAAGAGATCTCAGAAGGATTTTCCATGCCTTCTTCCCTATTCATGGGATGTGTTAGGAGCCTTTTGTCAAATAAGAACCTTCCTCAGGGGTCTAAGAAACATCATTAATGATCCCGAGAAAAGGTATATATCCAGAAGAATATTTCTTCCAGGGTCTTAGTTTCTTCCTATCCAAACCTAGATCCAGGAAGGAGTGCTCTCTACAGCTGTAAAACCTGTCCAAGTACTGCTCAAAGGAGCCAGCCTTCTGGTTTTCATATCTTGACATAGGTCAGACTTCCAAGCCTGTTAGCACAGATGGTTCGGTATTGATGTCACTATCTGTCCTCTACAGGAGAATAGAATGTCCACGGTTAGAACATTGTTCATTCCTCTCATGACAAGCACAATTGTCTGTTTTGTCTACATAATATTTGGCTTTCCTTAAAGCCATGTATTTCTATTAGTAAAGGATGAAATGAAAATATCTCAAAAGTGTTTATTTAAAACAGAGACTCGGGCTCAGTCAACATTTTTCTCAGTTGACCTGGGGCCAAATTTAGGAGGCTGAATTCAATTAGACATGGCTTGTGTTTTGTTAGCATGACAGCTTGTGGAACTGTGTCTGGGATTTTTCCCACCTTGGTTCTAGTCATAGGACTTATTTTGGATGTACTCTCCCTCCCCCACAGGACAATGTCTGTTAGGTCCAGTCTTAGACATCAAACACAGCACTGTTACCAGGAAACTTTGCTCAGTGCAGTATCATGGACTTACACCCAGCAAAGACGTTACAGAAATTGTGTTTCCATGGCTCATAAATACCAGATGTCAAGGCCCACGATGGTCTCTTTCTGCTTCTACCTGGTACATTATGATGGTTTAAGTGTGTGTTTTTGCTTCAACCACTGCCCTCCTAGCCCAGGGAACATAGAGCCAGCCCAGCTGATGTGGCCCAATGTTGGTTTTCCTCTGGCTCCACACGGACTCTGCAGTTGTTTTGCACCAACGTGGTGGCCATTCTCTAATCTGTTATGAAAAGAGCTTCATTTTGAAGTTTGATTTGTCTGCATTGTGGACTCCACATCTGAGCCAAACTGTAGACCTGTAGGTGCAGGCTTGTTTTTTCTCTTTAATTGTGCAGATCACTGGGGCTCTCACAGCTGTAATTTGCCTTTCATCCACTTCAGTGATGGCCCAACAAAAACATAAAACAAACCCAACCAGAGAAAAAGGAGGGGGGAGAGGAACACCAGCTGATGGTCTTAAAGTCAGCAGGGAAAAGGATTGGTGAATATAAATAATTTGGAAGCTATGAATTTTGTAAGATGTAATTAAGCTTGACATAGATCAGGTGCAGTGGAGTATGTATGAGGTCAGATACCACCAGAAACCCATCACCTCAGGAGTCATCGGACCACAGCCTCAGCCAGAATCTATCAGGCCTCAAAAATAAGCACTGAGGAGGTACACGGTGACTTGGGAAGTCACCAAAGAGCAAAACCCCACTGAGCATGTTATGAACAATGGAGAATACAGGTGCTTGAAGGCAACTAGAATCCATTTCTGCCCCAAACCCAGTAGGCACAAGGCCCAGAAACATCACTCTTTTGGGGAAGGTTATTGGGCTTTTCTATCACTGACCTCCAAGGCCCAGAAAAACTAAAGATAAGTTTCAGTGGCACTGGACCAACAAATAGGAAAGACTGTTTGCAGGGTCAACTACAGAAGCACTAGAGCAGAGCTGGGTGGTGAGTAGGATAGTACTTTTTCTTGGAGGCTCACTACCAAGTGGTTATTGATACTGAAGGGGGTCATTGGAAGCCCTTTGAGGATAGTCATTACTGGCTGGGTGTCTTTCTCTCTCTCTTTTTTTTTTTTGAGAGATTTTCACTATAGGGTGCGTGCGCTCACCAGACAGACAGAGAGAGACATTAGAGACAGAAAGCGAGAAATCACCCCCCAGAGGGGATGGTCACGCCGCAATCCCTTCTCCTCCATTCTCCTCTCGGGATCTTGGGCACGCACACACACGCGCCCAGCGTGAGTTTTAAGCCACCGGGTCCGGGACACGAACCGTGGTCGACTACGTGGGAGTCCAGCGACATAGCCATTACGCTAACTGCTGGTTCCCTGGGTGTCTTTCTCTCTTTAAACTCACAAGTTATACAAGACAACATTCTCAGAAAGTGCCATAATTCAGAAAAAAAAAAAAAAAAAAACAAAGATCCATTTCATCAGTGACACTCCTACTGTCCTTCCCAAAAGTAATCACAAGACACGGTTTGAGGAGTGTATTTCCAGGCTTTGTTTGTACCTTTAGAAATATATATGTTCCTGTAGAGCTATGTGGTTTACTTCAGCTGGGTTCTTGTTTTGTTTTTGCATAAATGGTATCATAGTGCCTGCTCACTTAATTGGGAAAACTTGCTTCTTCTTTTTTTTTTTTGGAGAAGTTTTCTCTATAGGGCGCGTGTGCTCGCCAGCCAGACAGAGAGAGACATAGAGACAGAAAGTGAGAAATCATCCCCCAGGGGGGATGATCATGCCGCAATCCCTTCTCCTCCATTCTCCTCTCGGAATCTTGGGCACGCACACACACGTGCCCGGCATGAGTTTTAAGCCACCGGGTCCGGGACACGAACCGTGGTCAACTACGTGGGAGTCTAGCAACATAGCCATTACGCCAACTGCTGGTTCTCAACTTGCTTCTTTTCATCTGACAACATCTTTTATTTTTTTAACTTTCTATTTATTTTTTTTTTTTTACATTTTTCACAAACATTTACTTTATGTATCAAAAAGTTTTTGTTCATACTCCATAGTTCTTGACAGTTAATAAACAACTTTCAAAATTCCAGAATACTGAATCTTAAAGATAATGTTCAAAATATTTCTTATAATTTTGTATAATTTTGTTTGTAACTCTATAACAACAGAGACAGTATGGTTTTAAATATTTTTGAGAAAATATTTATAGGTCAACTACACAAATTGTTGAAAAGCGAATGCCCAGCACACTACTCATACATAAACCACACATAAACCTTCTCAATTCAGCCCTGTCTACCAAGTATTCTGTGATATACCATCTGCTAGCAAAGATCAGTCTCTTTTTCTTCCTTCAAAGTCTTTCTCAAGATAATCCTCTGGTGTGGTTGCTTTTTTGCAATTTCTACTGATTACAATGCTGGACTGGAAAAATCCAGGTTATGTTATGTTTTAAATTCTTCCATATATCTTCTCTAATCCTGTCTGCCAAGCAGAACTATTTATGGTGCCAGGCCATCTTTCTAAGAGCTTCTGTTGGCTTACTTGAGATCCACCTTAGTTCCATAGTTTTCTGATTAATCTTCATTTCAGTTAGAGCCCTTCATTTGACAACATCTTGAGGATAATTCAGTACATGCCAATAGATTTGTCCCCACCCTTTTGAGCTGTGGCATAGCATTCCAAATTCTGTTGATATGCTATAGTTTATTCATTGCTTCCCTGCCAGTAGGCATTCACGTTGTGTCGAGTTATTTTTTTTCCTATTATTAACAGTATTGCAATGAAATCCTTCAGATTTCCTGTTGGGGCAAATGTTTCTCTATGATAGAATTTCTGGGTCAAATGGTGTACTTATTTACATCTTAATAGATGCTGCAACTTGCTGAGGTTAACCTTTTAAATTGAACCTGCCCGCTTTGAGGAAGGTAATGGAAACTAGTGAACATCCTGGATTTGGACTCCCTGCCACATTTGCAGAAGACACATAACCTCTGTGAATATTTCCCTTTCTCTAAAATGGGCATAATGCTTGCAAGAGGAGACTTTGGGCAGTTTTAGCAAAAGTATTAAACTGGGGTGTGGTTCTCTAGGAATTTTTTGAACTAAACTGCTAACTCATAGAGAATCTGCACCTGCCTCTAAGTGGCATGTCACAGAGCTGTGCCCCAAGAGTTAATTCTGTCCTTGGGTTCAGCCGGCAGCGTCCTGTTCTCCATGATTAATGAGTTCCACTTGGTTTCTTCAAAGAGTGACTGTGCTGTGGCTTGCTGTTATTTATTTATGTTTTCTACTAAAAAATTCATGTAAAAATCTTCCTTTAAGGTCAGTATGCAGTATTGTGCTGCAGACTAAACTATTCCAACAGCTGCAGGTAGACCCACATACCAAGAGAGTTTCGAAT